CACCCACACACACACACACACACACACACACTTCTTCCTTCCTATTATGTTCGTTATGTGGTCCTATGTTCCTTCTTTGTCCTTTTTCCCACATCCTCCTTGACATTCAAGTGAAGTGGGGCACTTAGAGATCTGCCAAATAGTCGGATGGTATTTGTTAGATGTGCCTGTAACCCTTTGGGGTAATTGCTGTGTTTGGGATGCCTCTGTGTCCGTGTTCCATGATGGCCATAGACATTTGTCAAAGGGAGTTCCTCACTGTTGATGCTGACCTCGACCTACAGTTTGCGAAGTTCTACTTGTTCTGCAACTGATATCTTGGTTTGGTCCATTCTTTTATGTGTGGGTTGCCCTGGCGGTGCTGCCCTGCCTACTTGGTGGTCTGTGCACTTGCGCCGTGTTGCCTTGCTGCAGCAGATGGCGAAAGGCAGCAGAGAGGCAGCAAGAGGCCACAGAGAGGCAGCAGATGGTGAAGGCCGCAAAGAGGGAGCGGTTGAAGGAAGAGTGTTGCGCGAGCCAATGCTCTCACGGTCATTCATGTGCAGAAATGCATCATCCATCCATCCATCCATCCATCCTCCATCCATCCATCCATCCATCCATCCATCCATTACCGAAACGTGTGGAGGGTGGGTGAACCATTGTGCAGACCAGTCCTCCGACTGCGAACACGGCCATACCTGGCTGAAGGTTTGGTGATCAACTCGTCGTAAATCCAGCTGACATTGTCCTGTATGCAGCACCATACAGAGATGACACAGCTATTCCTTGTGTGAGTTTCCTGCAGAACACGGATTAGTATTCCACGTAGGATATGCAAGGCAATCAACACGATGACAAACAGATGCATGATGCTTTGCTCTGTGACAAACGAGTGAACAGGGATTGTATCCACGAGAACATCTTGGTAGTGCGCCTGGCTGGCTGCTGCCATACAAGCAGGAAATCTCATGAAAGGGTAGGGAAGTGTTGGGGCAGCCCCTTGTTGGTTATTAATAGATTGGGGATCTACTTAAAAACAAAGAAAAAAAAAAGAAAAAAAATCTTAGCTATTCAAACTTTGTTTAACTTATTATTTTGGTTGTGTGAGAAAGAATAGTGATTGCACAGGGTTTTAGGCCCAACAACTTGGGTCAGGAACCTGCCACCGTCCTTTTGGGTAATTTTCACTGCTAGCAGCAAGGTTAAAAAAATATAGGAGCTTGGCGCAGATGCAAAACTGCATCTACCCATGATTGCGCGCTGGGGGGCAATGCTAGGGGCCAACAAAGATGGTCGCCTGGCATAACAATGTATAAGGGGTTATATCAAAAAACATCATCGTACAGAGAGGTGAGTTGGCATGGGGGCAGCCACACGGGTATAGCTGACCATAGCTGGGCCGTAATCATTCCCACTGCCAGGGAACGGGTGCAACGTGTTGCATTGTGGCGACTGCCACCACAGTCGCACTGCACACATGAGAAACTACGCAGGCAAAATACCAAGATGACATGACACAATCAGGAGTCGACCAAAGCATCTTTCATCAGAAAGAATGAGGTAGCTGACTTCACCATTTACACACTCAGTAATCTACTTCTAATTGGCTCCATTCTACATCCTCCTCTGCGATCATACAACTATCATTCTCTTTCTCTCTCTCTCTCTCTCTCTCTCTCTCTCTCTCTCTCTCTCTCTCTCTCTCTCTCTCTCTCTCTCTCTCTCTGTGTGTGTGTGTGTG